AAAATGACCGGGGCTTGATGTGGTCCAGCTTGACCTTAGCAACTCATGACCCTTTCCCCCCCCCATGCATTGAGAGCCAAGAACTTTCTGAGGCCACACTATGCACCAGTATCTAAGCTGTTTCTTCCTTTACCCATGATGCACTGAGGAGCTGGCCTGTCGACAGTCTGTGCACACCCTTCTGGGTATCCCACGTCTCGGTGTGAAAAGACCCCTCCCTTCAGAAACCAGCAGCATCTTGTATCTCTCAATCTAGTTTGCCAAAGCAACACACTGCAATAGACTAAAAACCATAAGCACTTGTGAAGCCTACAGTCAGGATGACATATATCCTGCACCCCACACTTATCTACCCTGTTCTCCAGAGGCATTTTACAAACAGCTTATTATTTCCTCTTGGTTTTTTTCCTTAATATTTATACAACACTTCTAAGTACTGAACTAATGCTACCACTTGTCAGTACCGTTTCATTATAGACATTATCTTGTGACATGCCCCTATTAAGAAGAGGATTTATTTCTCTATATAAGTCTCCTTTCCCGATGTCCCAATTTAAAACAATTTGCCTGAGTCGATATTCTGTATTTACCGTATTACTATTATATTTTATTTATTAGTCAAGCATTGCTCTCAGCTGATTTCCCTTGTGTAACATGACTACATTTTCTTTCTTGCGGATGCCTTTTGTTTTTCCCAGAGTTAACCATTGCTTTGTTTTCTTTTTCTCAGATTGTAGCATGCCTACCATGAGCTCGTCCGCCAAACTTTCTACAGCGCTGTAAAGAACTGATTCTTTTCCAGGCCTGTTTCCATTGTCCTGCGTGAGCTTTTCCCTTTCTTGCCATCCTTGTAATTAATTTTTCCATCCTCTACGGTAAAATCCTTTTTTCCGCGGGTCCTGTGTCTTTCTTCCAGTTTGATTACTAATTTTAGCAAAGCAAATCCTCAAAGAAAGCTGCCTCAAATATTTTTTAATTGCATGTAAGATATCGTTATCCCACTTACATTTCTGATTGATAGTTTATCCAGGAGCTTTATTCTAGATTGGAAACTTTTCTTCCCTAAGGGTTTTGAAGGACTTCGATGTAAGCCCAGAGCTGTTCTGATTCCATATACCCACTGGGTATGGACTCTTTCTTTTCCTCCTCCTTTCTCCCCATTTTCTTGGCATCCTGAAATGTCATGATGGCAGGATGATACATGAAGGCTCTTTGGTTCACTCTTGACATGTAGAGGCCCTTGGCCTTCAAGCCAGACTTACAGCAAGGCTTTGCAGGTTGAGTGGAAGATTCCCCCTGCCCTTGGTGGCCCCAGCTGCCAGTCTGGCTATAACTCTCATCCAGTGGTGAGCTCCTCCTCCACTGATGGAGTGAGGCATGACTGCCAAGTGGATCACAGAGCAAGAGGTAGACTTGCCTGATACCCTCAGTTTCCCTTTCTGCTCTCATCTGACGGCACCAGGGCGTTCCAAGCTCCCTTGGTCTTTCTGGGTTTCAATTCTGTCACTCCAGACCCTGCAGCTGGGGTTGTTTCAGCTTCCTGCACGTCTGAGTCTGATTCAAGGACTGTCCACCTGGTACTTCTCATATTTCTGTTGGCCTTCCTTCTTCATCTACGGTGTTCTTTTTGTGCTTACAGGATCATTTCCTCTTTTAAAAACATGCCTTCACTCTCTCTTTGGTAGAGGGAACAGACATGGGTGGTATTCCATTTTCCATATTAACTGGAAGCCCCATGCCCTTTGCTTTCCTAATTTAATCTTATAATCTTGAACATTATACTTCTAAGGTTCTCCATAGAAGTTCCAGCCACCCAGGACAGCATCCCACTGGTGGGTGAATCAGCGCCAGTGTTTCCTGAACCATCGTGGTGCGAGTAGAATGACCAAGTCAAAGTATCTTTTTATTTTGAACCACAACAGCTGAGCATCTTGTCATTTGAGGCCCTTGGCCATATCTTCAACTGTTCCTTGAGCTGTGGTATCACCTTTTTTTGTTTGTTTGTTTGTTGTTTTTTGAGACAGGGTTTCTCTGTGGCTTTGGAGCCTGTCCTGGTACTAGCTCTTGTAGACCAGGCTGGTCTCAAACAGAGATCTGCCTGCCTCTGCCTCCAGAGTGCTGGGACTAAAGGTGAGGGCCAGCACCGCCCCGCTGGGGTATCACTTTTACTGAAGGTGCAGCGCCCTGTCCAGTATCACCCCTCCATCTTGGGGTTTCTGTCCCCTTGTCCATCTTACTTGAAGGTGTGGGGTGTGCAGACAGATGAGGAACAGGAGTTGAGCACCATACCCTCCACTATGTCTTCACTAGGCAGGGTGCCCTCTACCCAACAGTTACCCATCCTCCTCTCCATGGCCTCAGAGGTAGAAGCCTCCTTGCAAGAGCTATCCCGTGAGACACGGACACCTTGTGCTCCAGAATGGAGCTGTCAGTCATGGTGATCCAGGAAGAGCTTCAAGAGAAGTTTGTGGGACAGGTCTGGTCTGAGCAGATGCAGAGCTTTCCCTAGCAATATTTGAACAGTTAAAGCTGCACTTTTTCCAGGGGAAGTGTTATCAAACTGGGGGGGGGGGATCACACAGACTGTGTCCCAAACTTGGTCCTTCATAAGCCAATTAAAAGAGCCACATTAATAGTGGAAAGCAGAAAAAGATTTATTCAACGTGGCCACAATGGGAAGAGGGACAAAGGGATCCATGACTTTCCAAGTCATCTTCAGCAAGGTTAAAAGTTCAGAGAGAGAGGCAAAGATGCGCATGCATACACGGACACACATCTAAGCAGTTCAGGTCAAGGTGTGGCCCCACCACCACCACTGACCCATCTGGGCTTTCAAGTCTCATTCTGTAAGGTGGTTTGACAAATGGATAGAACTGTGTGGAGCCTCTTTCAAGAGTCCAAGATCCCCCCTGTGGCTTGCACCTTTTCCTTCTCCCAGCATGAGGTTCCTAGGGGGAAATTCCCATCTCTTTGGGATCCATTGTTTGAATAGTCTGATGGATTGAAGATACACTGTCTCATTAAAATATTTTCATTTCTGCCAGGCCTGTTACATAAGGACACAGTATTAATGACTTTTCTCGTTGCTCTGACAGAGTACCTAACAGAAATAACTTATGAGAGTTTATTTGGTTCGTGGTTGGAAGGAATACAGCCCTTCATGGTGGAGAAAGGTAAGGTGGCTGGGGTGGGCAGCTGGGATGCTGGATCTGTAGCCCTGGGGACTTATGGGCTGGCCGAGTCAATCCTAGTGGATTAAGAAGCAATGAGCTCTGGAAGCATAAGTTTCCATAACCCCAGGATCTGTTTCTACAGCCCTACATTTGTCAGTGAGGCCCCACATTCTAAAGGTTCCATAGCCTCCTGAAATAGCATCACCAGCGGGAGATGGAGTGTTCAAACACGAGCCTGCCGGCACATTTACATTCAAACCACAATAGCTACCTTTGATGGGGACAGAAGTGGGATGGAAAGAGGATGTAGCCAGGTGCCAGCTGAAGACCTGGGTGGTCGGTTCAGACGGGCGAGGGCCCTTAAGGATGGCTGGCTTCCAAGGACCCCATGCTTGGGAGGCTAAGGCAGAGCAAAGGAAAATGGAGGGGAGCAATGCTCAAGAGGGAAAACACGGTTACCTTCCACATTCTCTCTCCCCAAGTCCTCACCACCACCATCACAACCACCCCACAGGTTAAGTATCTATACCAGGGTCTGGTATTGAATTACAGTTCCTCAAAGCAAGGGAACGGTCCAGAGCCATTGAAGAAGGACGGGTAGCAAAGAGGACGGCTTCAAAGAACAAAAGGGATGGGATGTGGGTACAGGAAGCTACGAAGTGAATGGGCGAGAGACTCATGAACTGACGTCCGACGGCGCACGGGAGCTGAGTCAAGAGGAAGGACCCACAGGAGAGAACGGAGACATTTGCTCTCGTTTAGAACATGGGCTATCTAGTCATATCTAAATGTCTCATTTCATCTCATTTTATTTATTTTTTATGCAATGCATCATAGAAAACATCAATAGGGATTAGGCGCGTATAGGACACAGCTTGTTTGGAGGTTTGCCTTTTATTTCCTCCATGTAAAAAAGTGAGTTCAGAGTGTGGCTCAGTCGTAAGTCCTTGGCTGGCATGGATCGAGTCCTAGCTTTGATTCCCAGCATAGAAAAAGAAAAGTAAATAAATAGTGTTTTTCAAAGGAAAAATAGCACAGCCTCAAGATTGTCCCTGGTCTCTATAACCCTTTGTCACCTAGTTACCCTACTGTGCCTGGAGAGGCTAATGTTTGCGGCCTTCAGAGGGCTTGGTGTGAGCTTAGGGGGTCAGGCCAATGAGGTCAAGGGGTGTGTGTGTGTCCAGGACAATGTCTCCTCATTCCCATCTCCACTGACTTCTCCCAAGAGTGTCCTGGAAAGTTCGTTTATACACCACACAGGTTTGCACACCACGCGTATTTGTTGAGCATCTGGCTCTAACCAAACACATCTATCCTAGTCATCCCACCCATGCCCTATGAAGCCATTTGTCACATCTACATTCTGGATCGATAAGGTCTTTGGCCAAGAGCTTTCCCACAGGGCAGGGTGCTGCTTGGAAACACATTCTCTGCTTCCATTGTATCGAGCACAGAGCGGGCCCTGACAGGAGCCAGGGAGCCAGGTAGCAGTCCTGATGTCCTGAGTGTCCCTGATGCTTCCAAGCTCACCAAACCAGTGACTAGCCCAGATAAGCTCACCTACTAAGCCTTTCTCCATTTTCCTCATTATCCAAGGAATCCCAGTAGCTATGAAGAACCTCGGCCTAGGGTGGTAGTAACAGCATTGCAGCCCAGGCCTGGTGTGTCCTTCCACTCGAGTGGAATCTCACAACTTCCTGTCCACCCCAGATGCTGCCTCAGGCTGTGTGGCTCTGAACAGGAGGTCACACCACAGGACCAGAGTGGAGCCATAGCAGGAAAGAACCCAGATCAGGGAGAGGAAAGGAGAATGGGGCCTCTACTCACCACAAAATCTCATTTCTCGTCAGGAAGGTCAGAGCCTGCAACAAACCAGAGAGATGAGCTGCCACTCAGTCCAGCTCCACGGTGACCCCTGGACGAGCATGGAGTTGCAGGACATGGAAGGCATTCTCTCGTTATACCGTTGAAGAGATGAAGGCTCTACACCCCACAGGAGCAGGGCTGTGGTAGTAGCCAAGGGCAAAGTGGTACCATACCCTCCTTGCCGTGTCATGGGAAGCAGGCAAAGTAGCCCAGACTGGGAGAGTCATTCAGAGCCAAACAACACCCTGGGCTCTGGGACAGGGGCTGGGGGTGAGGAGATTGAGAGCACTGGTCTGAGTCAACATAGATACAAGTTCAGCAGAGGCGAGCAGCATCAGCGCGGCCTGCTTCCCTCTCCTGAGCTTCAGCAAGAATTCTCCTCTTTGTCCCTCCAGCCCTGGGAAGCCCCTAGTTCTGTCCCAAATCTGTGACCTTACTACCCACCTGGTACTCTTCCAGGTCCTCCCACTGCATCTGGTACCTCAAACACTGCCCCATGCCAACCCCGTCTCCTCCTGCCAGCAGCAGAACCTCTGCCCAAGGGCTCAGCAGCTGGTGCACGTCCGTTGATTCAGTTGCTATGGTGACCAGCATTCCACCTTCTGCCCCCGAGTTGGCAAACAGGTTCTTTTGGTGCCCTGGCTAAGAGACGTCACCTCCAAAACAACAAACGGAAAGGCAGGCCAAAAAGCAGTCTTAAGACTGTTGACTCAGGGAGTCACGATGCCTGGGATGGAATCCCAGCCCTGCCACGTGCTCACTGGGTGACCTGGGGCAAGCTACACAACCTCTGTAATGCTTTGTGCCCTCACCTCTTCAAGGGGATAATCATTGCAGGACCGTTGTGGGGTCCACTGAGTTGATGCAGGCGGCAATTGTTGGCAGTTACAAAGGGGTCACTAAGTGTTAGAGCCGGAGCCTGAGTACCACGCAGGGTGTGGGTTACTGAGATGGAGAAACATAAACCCTGACTTGGGATCTAGGAGGGCACTGAACACCATCGGACTGAGTCCCCGCAGGAACCGAAGGTGCATTCGAATTTGGACGACATGAAGGGACCCTACACAAAGATGAGGTCTAAGGCTTCTTCTACCAAGATGGGGCAGAAGTCAGGGCTCCTATCACAGAGCTGCTCTGGTTATGGTCAAGGGCAAATGGACCGAGCACTGCAGCATCACTCTCTGATTTTTCTGGGGGACAGAAAGCTGGGTAGAACGGGCAGACTGTGGGTCAGAAAACAAACCAAAACCAAAACCCAGAGAAGATAAGCAGCACCACCATTGGTGCTAAAGTTCTGGGCTCCCCCCGAAATCCTCTCCCTGCTTTCCTCCAGGGTATTCTGTATACCCACCCTCATAGTACACACAGAGTCCCTTCAGCCTATAGCATAGACAGCCACAGACTGTCCTGGGAGAAGTGTGGGTCTCTGATGTGGTAAATTCTCTAGAAATTCTCTGCACACTATTGCCTCTCTTTCTTCCACAGAGGTAGAGACTGACAGAAAGGCCTAAGCTTACTGAACAGTCACCAGTGTCGGGCATGTCACTGGACACCAGAGAGGAACAACTCTCAAAATCGACTTCTACAAAATATCCGTTCTCCATACATACACCCTATGCACACTATGCACATACTTGGCCCCATATATGCACTCCATGTACACGCACATCCCTGGAGTTGGAAGCCGATGTCACCAGAGGTAACATTACAGAGGCATGAATATACACCAAGATGACAGGCACATCCTACCCCTTGATGTTATAACATCCATGAAGTTCAGGCTTGAAAACTGAGCAGTCAAGTTGCAAGAGAGAGAGGGAGAGGGAGAGACAGAGACAGAGACAGAGACAGAGAGACAGAGACAGAGACAGAGACAGAGAGACAGAGACAGAGACAGAGAGAACACCCATAATGTTTTAAGTAAGTTCATAACTTTGTGGGCCTTGGGACACATGTAGCCTTTGAGCTGTAGGCCAGGCTTGCCCAATTGTAGACAGTGACAGTAGCTATTACATGCGGCCATCGAGAACCTAGACTTTGAAATGTTAAAGGCCAAGTTTTGTCACTTTAAGAAAATCATAAAACTACTATAAACTTCGGTTCCCATCTCTAAAATGGGACTTATAAAAGTCCCCAATTCTAAAATTGCAAGGATAAAAAATAATAACAAATGTGTAGCTTCTTTTGTTGTTGTTGTTTTTAATCAAAATGCCTGGTACAAACTGAGTACTTGAGAGGACAATATTGCTTTGAGGTTGAGCCTGGAAGGAAGTGCAGGCATCCAGCAAGCAGGCAGTCACTAAGCCCCATCCAAGCTTGACTGCTTCTGACTCTCCTGTGCATCTACCCAAAGCTGGCTTGGTTCATGCTCAGAGCTTCTTCCTCCCTCACTCTGGGGACTGCAGAGTTGCTGAGGTTGGGGGATGCTGTCGGGGAGATAGGCAGGCTGCAGTTCTGGGACAGCCGGGGCAACCTGGGGATCTTTGAGATGCCACCCTGGCAGCTGTATCGTCTCCATCCAGTCTTTTTCAGACGCCTTAATTATACAAGGTGCAGCAGCGTGGCATCAGCCTGTTGTGTCTACTCTGCTGACCCTTGCTAAAAGAGAGCAACAAAAAAGCAAAGGCGAGAAGCGCCCGGCAGCTCAGAGCTCTCAGCTCCTCATGCAGCCTCTATAGGGCTAGGCAGGGAGGCTGGTGAAGAATACAGATGACACCTTGCCCAGTCACACTCCAGGAATGTGAACCCACAGCCCTCGGGAAGCTGCAGTGCAATCAGAGACAGATAACAAGGACCAGGCCAGAGGCCAACACTGGAGCTGTTGGACACCCGAGAGCCTCCAAAGGAGAACCATTGGATCACAAGTCTGCGTGGCACAGCTGAGGCAGGTTGAGAAGATGGAGATAGTGTTCCAGGCCCAGGAGGCAATGGAATCCAGCCAGAACTGCATAGCACTGTAAGGGTTTTCACATTTGTTTTTATAGGGTACCTTCCCTTCTGAAAATGATGCGGGTTTGTCATTTACAACTAGTATATAAAGGTGCCTTTATAAACATAGTCCTTTAATGAAAAGAAATAGGAGCCCTTTTAAAGAAAAATATTAAGTGAATAATTTTATAGGTCATAGAGGAATGCACCAGAAATTACAAAGTGCTCTGTGTGCTCATGGATGCTCTCTCTCTCTCTCTCTCTCTCTCTCTCTCTCTCTCTCTCTCTCTCTCTCTCTCTACACACACACACACACACACACACACAGAGTATGCCAGCCCTGCTACCCTCCATCTCCTTCAGCTTTCACCCTCCCTGCCCCCATCTGCCCCTAGCCCACTCCTCCCCCACCCCATCCCCAGAGCTCTGTGACTGCATCCTAGACAGGCCTTTTATTGGTTCTCACCAATAACAATAGTAGCAATAAGAATGTCACCTTACATTTGCATATCCCTTTACAATTCCAAATGCTTTTATATGTACCATCTCATTTGCCCAGGGAATAAAAGACCATGCATTTGAAAAGAAAATGAAAGAAAGAAAAAGAAAAATTCCCCCACATGAGGTTCTTGCCTTCAAGCCAACCTGTGTCCCTCCCCCCAGTCCACGGCACTCCTGGACTCCTGTGGCACTACAACAATTTCAGGAGAGGTGTGTTTGAACAGTGAAGAGTCCCCAGGAAGGACAGTCCATGTCCTGCCTTCCTAAAGTCGGCCTGAGGTAGGTTTCTGTCACCTAGCCTGGAACTGTACAGATTCTTAAAATTCCAGCCCCTTCCCGAACTTAATTTATTTTAACTTGTCTTGTCAAATCCACCAGTCATTGAAAAAATGATTGGTATCCGGGCTATGTAAAAGATTCTCGCAACCTAACAATACAAAGAAATAAGCCAACTAAAAAAGGAGGGGTGGGGGTGGCTCAGTGATCAAGAGCCCCTCCCTGCGTTCTTACTGCACTTGCAAAGGAACTGAGTTCTGTTCCCAGCATCTGTATTAGGTGGCTCATAACTGCCTGTAACCCCAGCTTTTAGGGCATTAGAGGTCCTCTTCTGGATTCCATGGGCACCTGCATTTGTATACGTATACACACACACACTTTAAAACAAAATAAGCCTTAAAAATTTAATTTAATTTAAAATGGGCCAATGATATGAATAGGCCAAGAAGATAAGTGAATAGCTTGGCAATCCATGAAAAGTACCTCCACATCATTAGGCATAGGGTAGCCTTGCAGACCAAAACTACACGGAGATGCCTCTTCACATAAACCAGGATGGCCTCTTTAAACAGGAAAACAACTGTTGGCAGCAGCATTAGCCACAATAGCCGGAAGTGAATGCAAGCCCAAAGCCCATTAGCCGTGCACACCTATAAAGCAGACTATTACTCGGCACTACGAAGGGTGGACTATGGTCTCAGGAAACAGCATGCATTAAAAACAGTCACAAAAGGCTCCCCCTGCTTAAAATATCTGGGGAAGTAAATTGGTTGTTTACAGCGGCTAAGGGGCAGGGAGCCCGGGAGTGCCGGACTGCAAAAGTGGATGGAGTCTCTTTACGGGTACACGGATATGTTCTAAAATTAAATGGTGGCACAGCTCAGAATAGCCTAAAAACTGTGAAGTTACATACTTTACCGGAGTGAATTGTATGGTGTGTCAATTATACCTTAAAGCTGCTATTTTAAAAATGACAAGGTATGTTTAAGTGCTAACTCGGAGCCTGGATCGTAAGTAAGCCACCGTAAATATTATTGAAGAATGTGTAAATGAGAGAATTCAGGTCTATTTCCTCAGCCCAGTCATCTAACCCAAGGGCTCCACCCACACCACCCTCTCCCTACTAGTGATTTGGAAGTTAGTGATTTCCTCCTTGGCAAGTAGCAGACCTGTGGGGACCCATCCTGGAGGGGGCGGGTCTTGAGGAACAAATGCACCCAAAGATGGAGACCAGGATGCTTGGGAACATCCCTAGAGCCCTGGGAATCTGGAGTTGGAGCCCTGCTTTCCCACATCTGGAGTCTAGGCGTCTAGAGTCCCACCCTATCATCTGCTTAAGCACTGGTCCAGCACTGTGCAGAGCACAGGTGCTCAGCCCACACACAGGTGCCCAAGGCAGGGCTCCTGGCTTCTGCAGTCTGATGGTATTGTGCAGGGATCTAGTGGCTTCCTAACGACCGGGAGAAGGGATGTAAGAGGGCTTAGCAGTCTGTCACCTGATACAGAGTCATCACAGCGCTTTCCCAGAGCCAAAAGGAACCCCAGGCCTCAGTACGCTGCACACATTACCCAGAAGGCTAAGTGTGGGCAATGTGAACAGATAGTACCCTGAAATGTAAGCTTTCGTAGCTCCTCCCCCTTCCTCGAGGACACTTTCCCATTGGTCTTTTCCATTCACATTGCCTGGGGGGAAACAGAATTGCTGCATAAGCCTAGGTGTATGAGCTCAAGCTCAGAAACCACATACAGGCAGAAGGAGAGAACCAACTCCACAAAGTTGTCCTCTGACCTCTACACTGGCAAAGTAGTCCATGCCTTTCAACACATAGTGCGAGCGTGTGCGCGCGCACGCGCACACACACACACACACACACACACACACACACACACACAAA